CCTATGAAGTTTGTATATTATGTATATGGATTTCTTACTGCAAGAGAACTTGAAAATGATAAAAAGTGAAGTTCATTTGAATAGTGTATAGTGAGATTGTAAGATTAGAAGGAACAAAGTGTCATGAAATGTCAATACGATGATTTAGTGTATAAAACTTTGATTGAGTTATCTGCAAAATGAAAACACTATGAAATTAGTGTTCTTATAGCAAATGTTATGTTTCATTCAAACATTCTGATCGTTGAGCACAAGTTGAGTATGAAATCAAATCACATCAATTTATTCTTTCCTTCAAAGGGATTACATCCTTCAGTTTACGGGTCAGCGAAAATTCCGTGAGTACAAATAAAACTGGCTGTAAACTGTTGTTTTTTGTTGTTTGTCAGTATGTTTTGAATTTGTCTTCATTCTAATTTTAAGGGCACATACGTATTTATTCATGTCGTTGAGTGGAAAATGAAATTCGGTGTTCGGAACATAAAGAAAATGGAAGCGTTCAGATTTCAGAAACTGTATGAACCCAAGTTTCTGTACGCAGGTTAACATTGAGAACTAGTGTTGTTTCACATGTTAATCCTTTTGTTCACAATCAGAGAGATCATTAGTTGAACATAGCTAACGACAACAATCAGGCTGAGTTGTCGTGTTTGAATCATCGATTAATAGATCTCATGTCATATTATTCCGTTTATTTCTTATGTGGAATGACAAACTTAGTTTATTCTTCATTACACAGTGTGAGTTGAACACTATAGTGCATTTTCTAACTCCATTATAAACAAACAATAAATTAACATAAATTCGCAGTTTGATTTCTCATATTCTACATTGTGCAACTACGTATGAGATGGCTGTGATGAAAGACCAACTACGAATTGAGCTAGACTAGGGCGCTGATTTACTCATACAGAAATCAGTATGACAGGTGCTGAGGGAAGCAAAGATGGTAAGCAATCCAACTCCTTCTCATAAGGGCGTAACTCACCAATTATAGTCAGACAGAAAATGAACCAACGATATGTGGTGTATAGAGCAAGTACAACACACACACATACCCTCAAGTAAAAACAGTCGAAGTTATAAGCAGATAACTGACAAGGTCACAATGAGTGTGTCTAATGACTGAGCAAGGATAAATTACCTGGTTTGCTCTAAAGCCAGAATAATCCTTGTGGATGAACAATGTAATGCATCCTATAAAATATACCTTTCCAATTAGCTGATACACTAAACTGATTTCTAGACTTTGAAAGTTTATTTTGAGTGAGGTAACTGACATTTCCCAATCTGCAATCCATATCACAATATGTTTTATGTTCCGATTTATAGATCTGTTCAAAACATAACACTATCTTGGCTATCAAGTAAAGGAAACTACGAAGTGCAAAAGACAATTCTCAGTCTACCAAAGATGCTGGTAAGTTGCACATTTACTGCATACAAACAGACGAGCATTTCTACTACATTGTATCATGCTATCATCTGAAATGTAATTATTAACAATGACTACCATTTTCACTGAGTTCTTGAATATGATATTTTGAGAGTCTATTTCACTCCGATTGATGGGTCCCTCTACTCTACATCTCTGCCCATTTTCTGAGGTTAGAATCCCATTTCGTCTAATGAAATCCGTGGAAATCTACTTAACATGCATAAATATAGATTCCACAATTAGGCATATATACATATAAATTTATGAGATTCGTTCGATGGTTCATATGATCCATATTTTACACATAAACAACCACATCCGAGTGTCTTTTGTTGATACATGTTCAAATGTCGATTTGAGGTTAATTAGCTTTTACTTTATGGTTGTTGTTGATTCATTCCATTTGTGTGTGATACGCAAGCCCATGTTTTCAAATTACCATGGAAATAATCTTTTGCATCATAATTCATCAATAGCCAAACGACATATATGAGCTATGCTTCTGTACTCAAAGAGAAATTTGGTGATTGATAGAGCACAACAACTGTTAGTTCACTTACACATCGTTTTAAAAAATACAACTGTGTTTTGCTAGTCTGTTATCACTGTGGTCCCTTGACATAAGATCAAATAGAATACACGAATTACTTATCGTTTAGTAATTATTAGTCCATACACTACAAAGTATCATAGTATGTTATTTAGAGTAACAAATGTGACGACATTATTTGTGAAATTTCAAAGCGTATACGGCATCATGAATGGTGACGTTTCCTAACTTATATAGCTAGAATAGCGTATGATTATTGGAAACGAGAAAGTAAATTTGTCCTATCCGGCTGCATAGGCAAGTCACAACTTTTATCATTCTTGATTTCAGGATTTGTAAGGAGGTTTTATATAAATCATTGTAATTGATCAAACTGAAATTTTGTGATGAAGAGGTTGATTGTAAATTGTCACAGTAGTTTGTTGATAATGGATGGAATCTTTCCACAAGTTTAATTCAGGGCAAGCATATGCCAACTCAGACTGATCTGAACACCGTTCAAATTATTCAAAACAACGCAACTCATACCGTTACTGATTCATTTTATGTTGAATAGTTTGTTTTAGGCAACTTTTCAATCCAACAACATTATGATTATTCTTTATTCAACCACCTGAACCAGGTTAATTTGTTATTCGCTCATTTCTTATGTCTCTAAGTTTAAAGCGTCGATTGCTAATTTCAACTCAGGTTATTAAGATTTCCGTTTATTATAAACTGACATTTAATTGGTATCGATCAATGACAATTTACATTGTTTATCTGAATGAAGAAGGAAGCAAGAAAACATTTTGACTGCAACCAACTACAGGGAATCGAGCTGGATGGAATCCATTTCAGTCATAGAATGATGGGAGTAAGTTTGCTTATACTGTAGATTTTGAAATTTATTCGTTCATCCAACAGAATTTTCTGTCCTCTGAATACTATTCATGCCGAATATATTTGATTCTCTATTTGCACTGTTCTGCAAATATGTGGAAAAATGAAACATAACATACATGAACGCAGTCTAGAATGCATCGTTTGGAATTTAGTTTTAATTAAATCATTGGAGTAGGAACCAAATCAGACGATCACGGGTTTCTTATGATGCTTCTGTTACATCTGCGTTTGTGCCCCTATCGATACATGAAGACGATGATGATGCCGCTAATTAGAAAACAGCGAATTAACGACCGAAACAATAAAAGATAAAGCCCGTACAAGCAAAGTGGAGTGCTTATCAGTCCTTGTTTCCTGCTCAAACCAGACTGTTAAGTCCAAAACATCAAAAACAGCTTCTGAAATATGAATGATATATTTCAGACACATTGGTTCTACAGGTCAAAAATAAGTGAAATACGAATATGAATATTTTAATTACTTAAGAATTACAAATAAAAATATACGTATTGTATTAGTCTAGAAATGGATTCCGACAGTTACTATTCATTATTTTCGTTAGGGTATAACACCTCCTCTTTTTGGAAAAAGTCGGAGTGTATGTGGAAAATAAATTTTCCGACTTTATCTTCCCCCACGAGATAGTTTTCAATCCCCATATTCTTAAGTTACAAATAATGTGACACTATTTAAACTTTATTTAAAACATACTTTTCGCATCGAAGTGAAAACTTGGGCTGACGGAACATGAACGCTATCGTAACTTTATTCTTACGAAGATCCCACGAGACTGCAGTTCTAATGAAACGAATTAAACCCTGAGCCACATCTTCAGAGAGCAGTCATATCTAAATGTTATCCCTTATCAACGCTTGTCGATAACGAAAAATTCAGGGGACAAGTACGTGAAACATGCAGGAAGTGTGAAACGAAAATGTGTGAGATTCAAGTTGTCTTCCAAACTAGACGATCAGTTCAAACGCCCTGTACTTGTCTGTAGCCTTTCTTAACCCAAAAATGCTAGAATCTTGAGATAGCTCAAACACTGTCCCAGCATGACCCTACAGAGAGTTACTGCGGGATGCCAAAAATTATTGAATTTGGGGCACCATACAACGAAGGTGGGGATTGACAACCAGTTCCTCCATGTTAATGCAGTCAAGTAAAGCTTTACGGGGTTCTAGCAAGCAGAAGTATTGTAATGACAGAGGCAAATGTGGTAGTTGGCATTTCAAAAGTTTTTATCCGTTTGGTAATCAACGTTGTACTAAGTGTTCCGAAAACGGACACAAAGAAAGTCATTGCGAATCCCAAACTGTACTCTAAGAGAATAGGGCCTCGAACAGCCAAAGTAACTTTAGCTGCTAACAAAACTGGATACTATAACGCTAGAAAATATGCCTCTCTCAAGAATAATGGATACGATACCTGCTTGCAGCTAGACACAGCCTTCGATATAACACTCATAAGCAGAAGAATGTGCAAAAAAATTTGGAGACCGTGAATATACTCAACTCGTCAATCAGCCTATAGTACATCTGGGGGAATGCTAAACATTGATGATGAGATTCATATTGGAGTCACTGTCAAAGAGTTTACGGAGGATATAGTAATATTTTTGACAGAACGTCCATCACTCGACTTATCGAGGCTCGATTGGATAGAAAGGTTGAAATTAACAGACCGTCCCATTAAGTCGATCTGCAACAACGTCAGTATGTGGAACATTGAGGGGAGAATCTCAGTGGAAACATTAATAAAACGATATGAAGTGGTATTTTGTGATGGTCTCGGAGATTGTACTAAATTTAAAGCGAGATTCGAACTTAAGACCTATCGGTCTCGCACACGAGCGCTTCACCTCTAAACCACTGAACCGGCATCAAACGGTGTCGATGTCTAACTTCAATCGATCCACAAATAGGTATAACCATACACGTTTCGTAAATGAATTAAGTATCAATAAGATGACAGATTTTAGAGGAATAGCAGAAATGCAAAATAAAAGTTGACTATGAGAGTTCAGTATTCATAGTCGATTTTGCGTTGTAATTTGAAAGAACCACAGTCATGTAAGTTTCATACCGATTTATTCCTAACGTTTTGATGTAAACTCACTTTCATCAGAATGATTTGATGGCAACTCACCAATTGGAATCAACTTGTGTTTCGAGAATAACTCTGGCTTATTTCGAAGATATAAAGTAAGTGTGACACGTTGAAATAAAAGAATAAATAAATCCTGATAAACTTCACAAATGTTGTACATGAAACTTACATGATTTCAGTTAATATAGGTAAGACTTATTAAAACGCCTTATTTACTCCTGTACTGATCCTCATTAGAAAATGAATCAATGAAAACTGTGTGTGAATGATAAATAAAACGCTTAGCATAACTCTATCTATCACATGCAACTACAACATAATTTGAATTTAGGAATGTGCAATAGTGCGTGATTCTTAGCAGTTGACTAAATTTCATCAGTGTTATTTCAGTGTGGAACAAATTTCACACGTTGACATTTTATACTGTGACTAAAGAGATGTGTCCTTTGTGATTATGACAAATCCAACTAGTCTATATGTGTGACAAGTTACATTCACGTGATAAATCTCATATGTGAACCTGAATCAAAGAGCTTAGTTTTGTGGTGGTCTTCGAGTCTACACAGGACTTGGCACTTCAATCACTGTTAGTATCAGACGTATCTGCGGTGACTACAACGACGTAACAATATACGTAAAACTGTTTATTTGGGAAATGGCTACATGAACAACAGTATAAAATGATTAACTAAACGTTGAAGTGATCTAAATTCCAAACACTGATATCGCTTTAAGTATAATTTTTACATATAATGATTTCTCCATACTCGGCGCACAACTTCTGTCAAACTATTTGTTCTAATACTGACGAATACTCGTAATAATAATTAATCGCTTCATATTCTAAAGTGGGAATGCGTCGAGGAAGAATAAATGGTTGTTCACAGGGAAAAATACTCACAATAATTTAAAGTCACATAATATATTAAGTGTTTGGCATTCGATTATCGTTCAGCACGTGTGATTTTGACGAAACAATCATTTGTTTTAATTGAGACTTCTATTTCCAGAAGCTAGCCACAAATAGCCACCATATACATTTGATGTATGATGTAAGTAGTCTATATCTTTCACAAATGCAGTCTTCGCGTCCTCTGACCTCACAATCTGTATGCACAATTTTGAAGTATGTCAAACTGACTTCAAAAAGGAAATCAATATGCAAATATCATCACACCGCACTCCATTCTAATCACGTTCTTATCCATTATATTTTGCTTCTCAAAGCATGTATGAAGTCGACTATTCCATGGCCGATGATTTCAAATGGGGAAAAGGTTTAGGTTGTGATTTCGTAATGAAGAGCTGTTATGAATACATCAAGGAGAGAAAAAGCAGGTAAAGTAGACACGTTATATATTTTTACTTGAACTTTTGTATATTTTTATTGAGTGACTGAAAACATTTCTCTTCCTACACTCCACAAGTATGATTAACTATTGAACAAAGTGAAGGATATGTGATATTGATCTCGCCATTTGTCACGTAAGACATTTTGTCAATAGACACAACCCACCAATCACAAAACGCAACTCAGCCGCAAAATGATTCTGATTTATTACACTTTACAGGCAAAAGTCATCACTTATTTTAGGTTGAAATGATTCATTTTTGAAGATACATTTACTTTGAATGCCAGATGTGAAACAATAAAATGTCTGTGTTTGGTAACTTCTCATGTCATAACAAATCAAATTATTTTCTTCTTAGAGGACAAGATATTCAGCCCTACTGTGATGTTCCCTCCGAACAAAAATGTGCCAGTTATGAAAACGGGATCGGTACCTGCGCACTGTATAAACACAAGAATCAATTAAATGAAGTCAATCAGTATATGGATGATTCGTTTCTTTTTACTGACACTGAAAAGGAAAAGTATGGAGGCTTTCCATTTTTCGATTACTGTCCAGTTCTCCTAGTAAGTCACAATACTAAGCAGGCGTATGGTAATTATGTTAGAATGTTGTGTTGATGAGACAATCTAATTGAACTTCTGATACTTCTTGAATCACTCATATGATTCTAGGAACTTTAGTAAGTAATTATTCTAAAAGTCGAGTCACCCATCGAAATGATTATTCAGTACAAAAAGTCTGAGATTTCTGTTCTAGACGAACAGGGCTATCTTATGTGATCCGTGAGTATACTGTTCCACTGGTTCCTTAGTATTTATTCCAACTAAGAGATGCATGTATTCGTATGATCTTTCACAACGTGGTAAGCAAAAATGTTTGTTATAAACAGTTTTATTTTTGATTCATTGAAGTATTACAGTTATTGAGAGTTAAATAGTCTGTGCAACGATATTTAGGTGAATTATTTTTCAATCACCAGATTTGTTCTTTCTTAGACTCAATGAAAAGTAATGGGATAAAACCTGAGACATATTCATCATAATAATAGTCATAAAATACCAATTATCTTATCAATGGTTTCTTACGGAAGCAGTTTTCAATAATGTCTCTGTATACCTATCCCAAATTATTCAGTCATATGTATCAGAATTTTTTTGAGACAACAGTGATTTTTTGATACTCCATACATTTTCGTGATGGAGTTTTGTGCTCTGAGTTGAGTGATTTGTTCGTGAAGCTTTCATCGTCCTTCTGAGCGACTTCTAACCGACGTTTGTGCTGATGATGTCGTACAGAAGAACGATGAAAGCTGCACGACCCAATCATCCAGTTCGGACAGTAAAACTCCATCAAAATCATCCATCTGAGCTACAAATCTTCTCCATCACTTCATACACACTACACTTTTTACACATAAAAACATTCGATTTAGGTTCACCCATATAAAGAAGGTGACACAGCCCTATGCGAGACGAAAATTGATTTAAAACCAGGTTCGTTAACAAATATATTTAGTCTGTTTCCCTTTTGCACTTGTTACTTAAACATATATATATTTGAATGCGTAAATTCATATATCATGTTCAATCAATGATTAGCGTGTAACACTTGTACCAGGATATGCCGAACTGTATTCTACATACACTCTCATAAAGTGTAGAAAATTGTCGAAATCATTGATACTTCTACTCCCTCAGTTGATAACAACTAAAATATCTTGCTAGTCATCATGTATTACCTCGAAACGATATATGTCAACATTAATTAAATGTTGTAGGCATTTGAACTAATTGTTTACTAAAAGGTATGATGGTTGGTGCAAATCAGTAATAGACTTATGTAGCTTTGTGATATTTTCATTTGGAAACATAATCTCAATGTAAGAAGGTGATTGTGAAGAGAAGGAGGTGGGTTGTGTGATTGTATTATGAAAACATGTTGACTTCATATACTGAAGCAAAATGTCATCTTGTCAGAATATATACACCAGCAGCATGTTAATCTATGGTGATCAAACAACTTTTACTTCTACAAATTTTCTGTTACATTAAATCAATATATATATGAGTTTAATTATTACTTAACTTTCTACAGATTCACCACTAGACGCATTTCTGGATTATAGGGGTACTGATTCAGCTTGTTTTATGGACGAAACAATTAAATACGTCAATGGGTCAAGAACATATATTGTTGAAAATAAACCATCGTGTCATAAAGTAAGTTATATTGGAGTAAAATATAATTCGTTTATTTCATGTATTAGTTTCGTTTATGATTTCATAGAAGTCAAATATACCGATTAACAGAAATACTCATTCACTCATTGCACTATTTCGAGAAACCAGTGAGTAGGACTACCCTAGCAGATGCTATATAGGAGTGGCTATATGAGAGCATTTCGAGAGTGAGAGCGGACTCTCCCTACTCTCTGCCGTACCAAGGCATTTGGGAGCTGAGAGAAATAAAACCAAAAACATTTCTAGGTGTAATAATCCCATAAAGTACTGCTTAACAATTGTGTAGAATTGAAGAGATGATTGCGTTCTCTTTCAAGAATAAGTTAATCGAAAAGACGGAATGAGTTCAATCATTATTTTAAAAATCTTATTCAAACACATGGATACTGGTACAAATAGATACCATGATATTTATGCGTCACACAAAGAAATAAGATTGTTGTGAGGTAGAGAGAGGAGGGTGATCATATTGAAAAAGGAACAATAGATGAATGAAAACAAGTAGATGAGGGTTGAAACGCCATAGAATCAATTGGAGAAGCACAGCATTTCAAAAGGCGCATGCAAAGATGATTCGTTTTTTGGATAAAATACTTTCAATTATAAAAATAAAAGAAGGAAAACTACATTAGGACCACAACTGTTAGTAACTTCCGACTAACGGGAGACTCAATTCGACGCAAACTTTGCACAATTTTTCGACGTAAGAATCCACATTTATTGTCAACTTTGTGACGAGTCAGGAAGGAGACCGGCAAAACTTATTGCTTATAAATGGGAGGCATTGTTAAGGCGAAAGTTCCTTTACTCGCCACTTCCAATATGCCATGTTTAGGCAGCCAATACTCACCTATGTTTTGTGATGGATCGATAAACTCTATTGGATTATTTTAAGCTGCCTAATTACTAACAGAAACAGTAACAGATGGTAGCAATAGTAAACAGTTATTCATATTTTGTATTGAAGAAGTCCTGGTTTCATGTCGATTTGACACGTAGATTCAAAATGATAGAAGACAATAATTTTACTTCTATGTGCTGAGGCTAAGTATCGTCAAAACTTTTCAAATCCATTGTGCTAAGTCTACCTACTGAATAAGTAATCTTTGAGATGGTGTTAATTTTTCCTTCACGGTTAGCAATAGAAACTGAAATACTTCGGCAATCATTCAACAAGTCAAGTGTAAGAGTAAACTAATTAACTGCTGAGTAAAAACAATATACTTAAGCTTGAAAATGTTGTGTGTATTCTATGATGAAAGTTCCATCTGTTAAGCGGTATGGTACAGATATTATCTTGACTAGTTTCACAGATATTTTCCTGAAAAATGATTTCTCTTGTTGACTTCTACTCAATTTAAAACTAATTATCTACCGATTGTTCTCCAATTTAAACACAAACACTGTCAGTTCCGATGTTCCATAAATTCTGGTGTTGAAGTAATATATCACGGACATGCGTTTCAGTGTCCTGTTGAAGGTGGGATAATACATATAGGGGATCAATTGAAAGATGGATATTTTTTTATCGATGTACAATGTCCAAAGTGCACATCATTGTGTAAGGTGAGTTGAATTAGTTTGTGAATGTTCGCCACACCAAGTAAATTAATAAAAACGGATAAATCGTTCTGCCTTCATAACACAGATTTAGTTTTAAAATTTGTAACATGATCAGCTGGGAAATTAATTGAAGTAAGCATGTACATCATAGTGTGACTAACGTTGGAAAACTGTGAAAATTTGAATATTCGTTCGAAGTGTAAGGGAATTTTACACAGTCATTATTAATTGACCAAATTTGTCTCATCATATGATGAGACACATTTCAAAGTTGAATTGAGCGGTAATCAAGAAGATATAGAAAAAGGAGAGCCACAGTAGGATTTGAAATGGTAGAGAATCAAGTAGCTGATTAGTTCGGAATAATAAAAGATTGCAACCGTGGTAGTCAGAGACAACATTTAACATCATATATGTTACATATGTCTACAAGATTTACTTGGTAACATACCGATATATGTCAAAATTACGTATCCCACACTTTGTGTTCATGTTTTCAGCTATAGCTGAACTCATCTGTGATTTCATCTATGACTCCATTTCATTTCCAAAGTCAGTTTTGTATGCCTATTATATTCTGCTCATATCACTTGTAACTGTGGAAAAATAAATATTGTGTTGTCATTGTATATTGAATTCGAATAGATAAATGCAGTTCAACTGCATTTGATGTTGATGTTGTTCACTTCAACAATCACAATAAACTCACATACAGTACATTATGTTGATTATTATAATTGCCACAAATAACTGAAACATCATAGATGCTCTTCTGACAATGGAATTTCAGGTCAATAATCAAAACATTGACAATGGGGTTTGTGTAAACTGTAGTGATTTTCATAGTTGAATTCATGAGTCGATATAGTGCAGACCACTATTGAAAACCCAAAGTTTCTTGAGTTTAAATTGATATAAAGAATGTATCAATGTTAGATGACCACTGGAAACCTAGTCCTAGTATGGGAATCTTCGGGAGTGAGCAATCACGACCATGCACGTAGCACTCGAATCGTAGACCATCAGTTGCGCGCGCGAACGTTTAACCTCTACATCACTAAGCCGGTATTCAATGGTATTAATATTTAACTTCAACCAGTCCATGACATTGCGCGACTGTCTTCCAGTGTCCTCAGTGAGTAAATGCTTCACAAGAGACAAGGTTATTATTTAAGAAACTTAAATACAAAATTTAAATTACATACATGAGAGAGTTTATTCAAACGTTTCATTCAATGCATATCAGAATATTATGGCAAGAGTGGTAGCCCATTCCATCGAGCTTGTAGAAGGTTTCAGATAAGTGAGACTCTACATTTCACTAAAACACGATTTCTGACTGTAAGATTGTCCATCACATTCTAAGCGAATAGTGTTTATGTATGAAATGATGAACCATACAGCGTAATACATTCAGATTTTTATTTCGTATGTTTCATGTCAAAATATTTTGGATCAGTATTTATTAAGCAACAATTAAATAATCGAGTTCATTCAAGTTTCAAGTGTTTTATCTCTGTGTTTCTAACAACGAATTACCGGCGCAACTATTCGTGCTCAATTCTTGTACTTTTTCAGGATAAATGTCCAAAATGAAAGAATATCAAATAGAGCAAACAATCTTCTTGTTATTGTTGAAAGAGAAAATCATCTGTTGGATTATTTTAGGAATATTTGTTGAATGTATCTGTACATTAAACATTAATTACAGCTTGCTTTAACTATGTTAAAATATGTATTGCTTGATAAATATAAAATATTTCAGTGTTTATTTTGAGATATTCTGATGATGATACTTGTATAAGTTAGACTATTGTAGTGCAGTGCTTCGCTAAACTTTCATCTCCATAATCGTTATAATACAAATCGTAGCGGTGTATGAGAGTAGCGGCAACTACAGTTTATTAGCAAATGAAGCAGGCAAGAAAGCTATAAGCACATGAGAAAACGTCGGCGAGTGAGTGATCAAACGAACGAATAGCAAGCAATTGCACAGGCGATTTATAGTCAAATTGTATAAAGGCACAGCAAGACAAAACAAAAGTTAAATAAAAGGATTTGAGTGCATACATATATGGGGAGGAGGATGAATCGTCGAATGCTATTTTTGTAATCAACGTTTTGGCTAGAGTCTGTCATATGCTCTGGTGGTCATAACAGAACAGAGATATCTGCAAATTGTTACTATCCAAATGACATTGTCTGTTAGGTAATTTAATGAAAGAACTTAACCAAAGTTAACCATTACCGAAATTGATTGTAGGATTGTAGTTGCCATAATATCATATGAATATCAAATGTTAATACGATGATTAGACTAGATATATATTCACAATTTTAACTTTTATTATTGTGGATTGTTTTCAGAATTAGTAGGGGTAATTTGGACCATGAATACCTGTTTAACATATATATCCAAGTTATATTTATTCAAAAACATTTTTAAAATGTACTTAGTTGTCAGTACCTATAATCTGTCATTAATCACAAATTTCTCCCATTAGCTCAGTTACAACTCCTAGTGTTTTTGCTCTACAGTAAACCAAATGTATTTTAATGTCTCAGAGATTAGACAATGAGAAATGTTTCCAGTTTAGATACTCTCATTATCTCTTATCACAATCACACAATCTTATACAGTAGTGTGAGTGTAAATTCAGTTAGCACCGAAAAATGTAACTTCCCACAGA